GGGCTATAGTGCTAAAGGTCTTCATTGCTGAGAGAGAGTGCTCACACGGAGCTGAGGCTGGAGCCTCGAACGGAGCGAGCACTGAACTCTGCACAAGGTTCAGAGACTTGGGCACAGGCAGAACTCCCTTCCCTCCAGGGTCCCCTGTGTCTACATCGTCCCTCCGCTGGAGGTGCAAAACCCTGAACAACCCCAGCTGCTGACCTTGCCATTGAGATTCCCGGGCACCTCGGGAGGGAGGCTGGGCCATCTGCTTCCAAAGAAATCAGCCCTGAGTGCCCCACCCCCACCCCACCCGCCAGAGCCAGCTCTCCTGGCTGGGCGTGGGGTTGCCATGAGTCCAGGGGACGGAACCGCAGCTGATGCTCAAACCCAGACTCAGTGCCGACTCTGTGACCCTCTGGGGCAGGGTATAACTGCCCCTGTGGGTTTCTGAGACTGTCGCTCGTTAACGGACCAGAAAGCCTCATCTTTCTCCCACAAAGCGGCTGGTGGTTTCAAACTGCTGACTGTGCAGGTAGCAGTACAACGTGCAACCCTGCACCACCAGCACTCCTGGAAGCTGAGACCAGCTTCTCGAATGTGGTTCTCTCCCACCTGAGCATTTGGGGAGGATTTGTTCTTTGGGGGAGGGGGTGGTCTTATCTTTGTTCATCATGCCTGCCCTCTCCCACCCAAAACAGACAAATGCCCGGCCAGTAATTCGATGGCGCCGGCTCACAGTGACCCTGTAGACCAGGGTAGAACTGCCCTGTGGGTTTCCCAGACTGTGATTCTTTACCGGAGTAGAAAGCCTCCTCTCTGTCCCTCGGAGCTGCTGGTGGTTTTGAACTAGCGATCTTGTGGTCAGCATCCCCATCGTGTAATCCACTTCTCCAAAAACTTTGCATGAAGTCCCGACTCAATGGCTCTCCTAAAACCAGGAATTTCAATGAAATGGGTATGAGAGTGGGGGATGGGGCATCATAAGGAGCTCACCTCAGAGGGGCGTGGTGGGGGGGTGAGGACATTTCACCTGGGCTTGCTCTCTCTGTTGGTCTGTGTGTACCAGACCAGCTCAGAAAGGAGAGAGCCGTTGTGGAACTTCCTGGGTAGCTGGCCTCAGTGCTGGCTCTTGGAAGGAAATGCCAGCTGCCCAGGGGAGAGGTGGCCGGGGCTCCGGCAGAGTCGCGGGGGAGGGGGAGGGTGACGGAGTG